CCTTTGTATGTTTAGAAAGTTTTTATTTTACCTGTTTTGAAAGATAATTTCACTGGATATGAAACTCTAGGTTAATAGGGTTTTTTTTCTTTTAGTGCTTTAAAGATACTGGTGTTGTACTAGTCTGTGTACTATTTTCTATAAGAAATTTGCTCTCATCCCTATTTTATTCCCTTGTACATACTATATCTTTTCTCTGATGGCTTTTAAGATTTTTCTTTTTATTATTAGTTTTAAGCAATTCAGTGTTATGTGCTTTGGCTTTGTTGGTTTTTGTTTTTTGTTTGTTTGTTTCTTTTGCTTGGTGTTTGTTTAGGTTCTTGAATCTGTGGCTTTATGGTTTTATCAAATTTGTAAAAATGTTGATCACTATGTCCTCATTTTTCAGTCCTCCCCCATACCCCATTCCTAAATTTCAGTGCCACATTAGGCTGTGAAAGTTAGCCCAGAGAATGCTAAGTATGGTGACACATTCAGGAGGCTGAGGCAGGAGGATTGTTAGTTCAAGGCCAGCCTACACTACATAGTAAGACTCTGTCAGAGAGAGAGAGAGAGAAAAAGAGAGAGAAGAGGGAAAGGAGAAAAAGAAAAGAAAAAAAGGAGAGAAAGTCATGTAGAAATAAATTGTAACTCCCTCCCTTGTATGCATTTAAAATAAGCTCCCTCAGGGGCATTGTTTAGTGGTAGAGCTCTTGAGTAGCATGCACAAAAACCCAGATTTAATCCGTAGAAATGCACATGCACTCACACATACATGTACATGCATGCACACACACACATACACACAGAAACAGCAAAGTATGTGGTCTCTCATTTGGGCCAGTCGGCTACCAATATGGTGTCCTACCTTGTCATGTTCTGTATGACCTGATCATTTATTTATAACTCTGGTTTCAGTTTCCTTTTTATTTTTGATACCTAGGAATGTACCTAACTCCCCACCCTCCCTTCTCTGACATGCGCACTAATGCTTTTTAATATATTCATTATATTTTCTCTACTATCTCTAAGTATTTATAGTAAGGTAATTTCAGGTTATTTTGATTCATATCCCTTTAAGGATAAGGTAGCAGGCCCATTTCCCGACTTACAAGAATCTATGGCCATGATAAATTTAGGAAATTGCATCCTGGGCCACATGGTTGAGCGAGCCCTTCTGTCAGGATGGTCAGGAGGGGCTCTTAGCAAGAAAACTAAGGAAAGCCTATCAGGAGACCTGGATTCAAACCTAAAGCTCTGCCTCTGACTTTATTAGGTGATCTTACGCTAACCAGTTACCCTCACAGAATTTCTGTGTCCTCATCTCTGAAGTGGCTTCTTGAAATGTCGATCCTCCTATATTTCTAAAATTATATCAAAGGCAGGTAGAATTTTGAGTAAGAGAACTGATGATATAGGAAATCTTCTAGGTAGACACATAACAACATTATTCAAAGAACAAGAGGAAAATAACATGAAACCTTGAACACGTAACAGTAGATAACTTCATAACATAATGATGAACGTGGTCCAAGCAGGATCATCTGTGTGTTCCCTTTTAAACAGTGGCCTTTCTTTGTATACCCATTGCTAATGTAACACAGAATATAAAGTTGATGCTTAATGAATGTTCGTGAGAGGAAGAGAAAAAGAGAGAAGGAAAAAAGTCCAGGCAAGAAGGAAGCTATTTGGTTCAGAAAATCTTCTCACAACAGGTGCCACATTCTGGGGAGAGATCCTATACTGAATGACCTTTCATATCTGCAACGGTCTGTTTCAAAACCAAGCTGTTTACTTAGAGTGCTTGTATTATAAACTCTATTTGTACTTAAGTGGCTTCCAGCTGTGCTAGCTTGTCCTTTTGTACTTATATACATACTGTCAAAACAGGTCGTCATTGCCAGCTAGTCACTTGCATTGACTCAGATATGGCTACTTTGTGGATGAGCTGTATCTTTTTTCCCCTGTAATTTTTGTTGCAAACAATAAGTATTTTATGCCTGGAAAGGTGATGCATTTATATAGCATATGCTTGGGAATATGGGTGTAGCTCATTAGTAGAGCCCATGCTTAGCTTGTGAAATTTCTTGTGTTCAATTTTCAGCACCAGCCGGGGATATAGCTCAATGGCACAAATGCCTGCCTGGCAAGTGCAAGGTCCTGAGTTTGATTCCTGGTACCAAAAAAACAAAAACAACTCAAATCAATTTTCAGCATCAGATAGGTAGGTAGGTAGATAGAGAAATTGATTCAGCATATGCTTGTTTGGGGCTGGGTATTTAGCTCAGGAGCACAGCGCCTGCCTGGCAAGCGCAAGGTTGTGAGTTCGATTCCTGGTACTGGAAAACAAAAAAACAAACAAACAAAACCACAAAATAAAAAAGCATATGCTTGTTAAATACCTCCTCAAAAGCTGATACTGTGTTGAATACAAACATATATAATATAGATGAGTTCTGTATTTGTGGAGCTTATAATGTCTTGGGGGAATGGCACATTAAATAAATATACAATAATTAATTGCAGTTGTGATAAATGCTATTGTTTTCCCTTTTATAGCATTTATCACAACTGCAATTAATTATTGTATATATGTATTTAATGTGCCATGTAAAAGGGATGAGGTCAGGAAAGTAAAGATCAAATTAAATTTTTAAACATCTTAAATATCTCCCCATTTCAAATACAGTATTCTCATATTGTTGATTATATTCTAGATAGAGATACTTTTATCCATACAGACATAAAAGAGAGAAATTGTTTACTCAAGAATGTATACCTTGTTACTGGCAGAGCTAGAACATGAGCAAAGACTGCTCATCCTTCCTATTACCTCTCAGTTAAAGAAATTGTATAGCAAATATAGGTCAGCTATGGTCGAATGAACTCTTAAGTGGCCATTCTGTAAATAAACTTGTGTTTGAGGAGGGGAAAGAGTTTACAGAGTAATAAATTAGGCAAATGCAGATATAAACAGAAACATGCAGAATAAGCTTTATCAAGTTTGCTTTATCTAGTCATAGTAAAATCTGAGCAGGCAGACCAAAGTAAAAGCCGGTTGGAATTAGTGGAAATACTCTTAAAGGAAATGATTCTGTGTCTTTAAAATGTGTAGTAACTGACTGGGCATGGTGGCGCATACCTGTGATCCCAGCACTTGGGAGGCTGAGGCAGAAGGGTCGTGATGAGTGCAAGGTCAGCTTGGGCTACCTAGTGAGTTCAAGGCCAACCTGAAACTACATGGTGAGACCCTGTCTCTAAATAAATAAATAAATATAGTTGTATACAAACTGCTAAAATATGCCTCAAATAAGTTTTTCAAACACATTTTTATTCATGTATACTATTAATTAACATGTGAATTATTCTGACTGCTTGCAGTCTGAATGGCCTCTTGGTTAGGTTAAACATAGTTCCTGACATATTATTCCCAAGCACTAGGCCCTTACTATGTCTTTTCATCATAAATAGTATAATAATTAGCTTCAAGTCAGCAACGTCTAATTCTTTGTAATTTTTTTGTTTGAAACATTTAGGATCAGTGCAATGTTACTGTTCATACCAAAGCTTTTGGAATTAGTTGAATTATTGGAACTAGGAGTCCTAGGACTTAGGGGGAAGGCCAGTCTTGATAGATATCTGAAGGAGCACCAGGGAGTGCTGAGCATATACTCAGCCTTGAGTAAGTATGTAATGAATTGAGGAGACGAAAGTGAGATGTAATGTGATGAATTCTGAAATTTTCAGTTTTAAAGTTCAAAAATTGTCAACTATTGGTGACTTTATCTAGTTCAACTTTAACACCAATGACCGCTGTAATGTGGGTGTACTCCTGAACTTTACAGATAGTAAGTTCTGTTAGTGAATTAACATTTAATTTTATACAAAAGTATGATTTAAATGTAGGCACATTATAGATTCACTTATTTTAAAAGTTGACAATAATCAAAAAACTTGGGGCTGGGGATTTAGCTCAGCGGCAAAGCGCCTGCCTGGCGAGCTCAAGGTCGTGAGTTTGATTCCTGGTACTGGGAGAAAAACGAAAAACAAAAAAACAACAACAAAAAATAATCAAAACCTTTTCAGCTTAGATAACTTCTGTTACCATACTTCATGAGTGTAAGTGTAGTAGAAAAACACTTACTTGATAACCAAAGTCTTAGTGGGGTGGGATGAAGTGGTAATCCTGTGGGGTGGTATGGAAGAATGTTTTGCTCTCAGCTTCTTTCGCTCTCCCTCCTGGTCCTTAGTCCCAATGCTGATGGTCTCTGAAATAATCTTTGGAAAAATGAGGAGAAAAGGGCAAAGGATTGTCTTGGTTACTTTTCTCTCCTTACTGAGATAAAATACCTGGCATCCAAAATTAAGGAAGGAAAGGTTTACTTAGCTCACAGATTGTGGAGGTTTCAGTCCATAATTGGCTGGCTACAAGGCAGTGGCAGATGGCAGAGGGTAACAGTTCCCGACAGTGGAAGACAGCCAAAGCAGCAAGAGCAAAAAGGGAGGAGCAGCAGACAGAGCAAGCCTATTTCCCTCCCTTATCTTGTATGCAAGCTATGAGCTCCAGGCTGGTGTAGCACTCACACTCATAATCCCAGCATTGGACCATGAATCAATCATAAACTCTAGAAGCCCGCCCCTTGACTGCATGAGGCTTTGAGGGGACATCTAGATACAAACCATAAGAAGGATCTAATAATTGAACAGTTTATATATTATGGCATTAATTTAAATTACCTTATAAAACAAATCAATATTTTTATTTTACAATTGAAGAAATTGATATCTAGAAAGATTAGTTTGTAAGTAGTAGAATTAAAATTTACACAGTTTCTAAGTAGTAGAACTAAAATTCATTCTTACTTTCACTATGTACCATGTTGCACATCTTATTGTTTGTTTATTTATATCCTATATACTTTATTTAATTGTAATAAACTCATGCAGGAGCAAAATGAGGATTATCCCTGATTTTTTCTTTTTAAAAATATGATCAAAGCTCAGTTGAATTTTTTTTAAAGGATGAACGTGAAGCCAGAGAAAATGTGAAGAGAGAGCAAGATGAAGCCTATCGCCTTTCACTTGAGGCTGACAGAGCAAAGGTAAGTTTCCTGAAGGTACCTCTAAAATACAGAACTCAATCCTACATTGTCTTTGATTATCTGAGTACTAGCCATTTTGTCACTTTGGTCCCTAAAAATACCAGATTTGTGATGGAGAAAGCTAGATTCAATATAAACAGAAAAAATTCTGTCCATGGTTCTTAAGACATGGCTCATTTTCACAAATAAAGTTTGTTAGAATCATGCAGAATAATACAAATGAGCCTAATCCAGTATCTATTTTACTTCTCTTTTAATTGGTCTGTGCTAGAACCCAGCAGTTTTTAAAAGCTATTGAGGTGATTTCAGTGTGCAGTGAAGGTTGAGAACCACCGATTTATTTAATGCTTCTTAAGCATCTACCATATTGAATGTTGAAAAAGGAGCAGAAAATAAGTAAACCACAGTTTGTACTCTTGAAGGAAGAGAGATAATGTGGTAGAGTAGATAGAATAGCAAGCACAGGTAGCTATAACATAAAATAAAGACCCTAAGTGTCATAAGGGAAGCCCCAAGTTCTGTGAGAGTTTAGTGAGCAGGAATTGCCATAGAAAATTTTTTCCAACATTTTTGTAGAACCAGGACATGAGAGGTACTGGGGAATGTTTCATAAAAGGGTTCAATGTTTCATTGAACTGGGGAGGGAAGAAGGAAGTAATATAAGCTTGTGTCCAGAAAGCGTGGGGCATTGATAGAGGTTGCTGACATAGATCTTGAGATTAGGGACATGAGAAATTGCAGAAAATGCCAGAAAGGAAGATGAAAGAAATGTCCTAGATGGTCTTGAGTGCCACATAACCCAGCACTGTCAAAGGTGCTTGAATAGAGATCCAGCATGATCAGAGAGCTGCACTTCCTTGTTGCTTTCGTTTCCATTCCGTTGCCTTTACCATGGTGTGCCTCTGAATTATGCTGAATACGACCTTTGAGTATAACTGCCTCCTTTTTCCTTTTTTTTGTGGCAAAGAGATATTTATGCATGCTTGCTGTCCTTCTGTTTTATCAACAGAGGGAAGCTCATGAGAGAGAGATGGCAGAACAGTTTCGTTTGGAGCAGATTCGCAAGGAACAAGAAGAGGAACGTGAGGTAGGCTATGGTTGACACTGAGTCTTTTAGTATTTCTTGCAGCTCCTTCCTACTTTTCCCAGATTCTTTTTATTTTTTAATTGATTTTTTTTATTTTAAAGAAAAGAAAAACAATAAAAACAATGGTATAAAATTTCAAAACAAGATTGTAAGAAAGTAACAATGGTTAGTACATTTGTTGTCTTCAGAGTAGTTGCTCATATTACAAGATATAGGCATGAAAAAGTGGTCAAACAACCTAGGCATATACCTTTCAGTGAGCTAACAGCAATTAGTAGTATAACTCTCTTAACTATCTTGTGTGTGTGTGTATATATATACATTTTTTTCCTTTTCCCTTCCTTCTTAGATTCATTTTAGTATGAAAGATTTTCCTTTGGATGACGCATTCCTAACTCTTAGAAAACTTAACCATGTACTAAATTTATTATCTTCTGTTATCTTCAGTTCCATTCCCCTTTTGTTGCCTAAAAGGTAATTCCCATCTTTCTTGGATATTGTCTCATCCCAAGAATGTAAAAATTGTGCTTTTTGTCCATTCACTAGACTTTAACAAGACTTTACCCACCAGAAAATACCATGAGTTGCTTCTGCAGCATCTTGCATTAGGCCTCTAAATATGTTTGGCTGATATTTTTCCCCTGAAATTATGTCTATATCCATATGAAGAACTTTGCATTCACCCATTTTACAAACATTTCTTTTAATTCTTGATGTGTTTTCGGATGTGGGCAATCTTTTAGGGAGTAGTAATACAGACATGTCTTTCCTTCTAGGAGTTCATAATCTTACAAAAATAGAATTATAGTACTATATGTAAAAGTTGTTACCAATATATGCCTAAGAGCAGTACAAACAAACAAAAAAATGGGTGTTAAATGACTTCCTAGGATACCTTCACAGAATAAGACTTTTAGGACTTTTTTCTAGACATAGAATTAATGGCAAGATTCACTTATTAAAAGAGGAAGACATCTAACAAGGGGTGGAAAAGCCCGAAGAACCCTAAATCAGGCGAGGAAAAATCCATTAGTCACCATTCTTAGTCAAAGGACACCACTTCTTTCATTTATTCACTTCTTTTACCTATTTCATTCCTGTTGAACAAGAACTGTGCTTTGTCCCGCTTTAAAGGGAAGAGCATAAATTGTTTTCTGCTTGCAAGAATAGGTTACATCTTTGAAGGAAGATACACCATGTCTACAAGTAACAACAAATAAAGAAAAAATGTGCTAAATGGTATAGAATAAGTAAAAACAAAATACTTAAGGATTTCAGGGACATAGGAAAAATCTTTTACAGATCTGATATTTAGACAACGTATGGAAAAAGTAATCTTTGACCCAGGTCTTAGATGTTGTGTGATATTTCACTGTTTAGGTTTATTCATGTTCAGACACTCATTTAGTACCTGTAATATATGTACATGATGCTATGCCTGATAAACTTCAGTCTCTACCCTCTGAAGTTAGAAAATACTTGTATCTTCTGTGTACCAAGAACTGTGCTTTGTGTATGCTTATTCTTTAAGCATTAGCACAAGCTACACCTTTAGAGATTTCTCTTTACAGGTGAGAAACTGAAGTTCATTGAGTCATACACATAGGAACAACTGAGATTTTCGTATAGAGCCTTGTGACTACCAAGTCATGCTCTTTTTTATACTCCAGTCCAAGACCACACATGATCGTATGTGTATGTGTCTACACGAGTCGTAAGTGTAGAGTTTCACAAAACTTCAGATAAGGGGGAGCTTAATCACTATTCTTTTAGGCTGCATCTAACCTGTGTTTCAAGAAATATAGTACAGAAACTTGGGATTCCTGTTCCTTCATGCTCACTTCACATTTCCACATGCTCATTCTCTCTTCAGATAATACCGTCAACTATACTGGCTTGCTAAAATGTTAAAATACACAAATGTATGTTCTGGATTTAGAGTTTGGTAGTATATGTACTTTCTTCTGGTGGTTCAGCTAATTTACCCTGAAATAAAACTTTCACATTATTTTCCAAATATAAATAAAAGCTGTCATCTCATAGAAGACCCTATAAACATCTTTAACTATAGCTCTGTACAGCTTGACCATCCCTAATCTGAAAATCCAGAATGCTACAAATTCTAGAACTTTTTGAATGCCAGTATGTTGTCTCAAGAAGAAATTTTCACATCTAACTTTATGATGGGTCACATTCAGACTACACACTAAAACTATTGTATAAAATTAACCTTCAAACTATGTATATAGAGATGTATGTGAAAGTGAATTTCACATCTAGACTTAGGTCCCATTCTCAAGAAATCTCATTATGTTTATGCAGATATTCTAAAATAAAATAAATTAAAAATCTGAAACACTTCTGGGGGCCCAAGCAGTTCAGGAAAGGTATACTCACCCTATTCCAGCACTCATGTGCTCCAGCTATAACATGTGAGAGGATGAGACAGGGAAGGGAGGACACGTCAGATTGTGCAACTAGGCATTCCTTGCATTTGTACATTTATGTGCTCCAGTAAGATCCAAATTTAGGTAATACCATGTATTCTCTCTTCCTTCACCTAAGAGTCACAAAAGCTCCATCATTAAAAACTATTTATTTTAACTTAATCCAATCTTACTCAAATTTATTTGACTGTTTTTTTCCCCATGGATACTAGTTAGCATATTTCAGCACATTTGTGTACCACAAGCCACTATCCCAGGGGATCGCTGGTATTGCACAACCTGTGAGGAAACTGAGATCCCGAAAGACATGGTTTGCCTACAGTCACCAAACTGGTTGAACACATAATCTGAATCAGAGGCCAGATCATCTGACTTTTCACAGTAACACTGCCTTACTTCTAACCGGAAATCTTAATGCATATAATTATACTGAGGAACAAGGTTGGTTTTATTCATTTGAGTATCTCAGTATTCTAAGATTCTTTAGAGAAAGAAATGAAGCATTGAATTACCCACCTTAGTCACAAGGAAATTCTCTAATAGTTGGCCTCATTTTGCTGTGTGGTAACTGCTGGAGAGAAATCAGTAAAATGTAGAAGAGTACATTGATCTGATCCTTGGCCATGATAAGGAGAAAGGTTATGAAACTATCTTAAGGAAAAACAAAGAAATGACAATAAAGATCTCCCTATTTTACTCTTTTATATATTCTTTTCAAAATTGATTTCAAGTAACATATATAAATATATGCAAGTCACATGCGCTAAAAAAGAAGGAATAGATACAGAAATAAGGGCAAAGGGCAAATAAAGGAAGATAAACCCAGAAGGTACAATTAACATGTTGACAACAGATATCTAACACATACCACATGTGTGTGATTGATAAGTTTCTGTATATTTGCTCAACAGTTTTCTTGGGCCAAAACAAAGGAAAATGTGGTAGTTTAGAAATTTTACTTTGTATATAACATCAGGTGAAGGTCCATGTTTCGGAAGGTGCCAGATTTTTCTAGCACTGAGATCTTAGAGCAGTGTTTCGTATGCTTCTTCTTTAAGGGGAAGCTCTGCAATGTGGTGAATACCGTTGCCAAGTATATCTACAGTAGCAACTCTTATATAGCAACTTACTACAACTTTTTAAATGTAATTTAAAGTCATAAAGCTAAGGCATAACATAGTGAAATCAACACCGCAAAGGCCCAAACAATATATTTTTCTGATAGTCTAGTTTAAGGATTGAAATATAGTAACTAGTGAACTGTACTGCATATCCTCAAAGAAAGGCCTGAATATTGTTTTTTGCCCCTGAGTTTTTGGCATGTAGAGAAAGTTTCAGGTAAAGCTTTTGACTATTAGGACTATTTTGACTATTAGGACTCCTGCCATCAACTCCCTTTAATTCAGTCAGTTTTCAACAAATATTTGTTAATACTTAATCTATCTTGAAATTATTAAGTCAGTTGTTGTGACTACTTACATAACCTTTTTTGAGTTTTCTTTTTTTATTTGAAAGAGAATAAAAATAAGAGAAGAAACATTAAAAACAATACAGAATTTCAAACAAGGTGGTAAGGAATCAACAATGGTTGTTACATTGCATATTGTTAACTTCAAAGTATTGTTCAGATTACCAGATAGAAACATGTAAAATTTGTCCAAAAAAATTAAGGATTAACTATCCCTTACAATAAACCAATAGAAATTAGTAGTACAATTATCTTAGCTATCTTGTGTGTATGTGTATATACATATTATTTTTCCCTTCTTTCTTTTCTCCTTTCCCTGGTAGTTTTTTTTCCCTTTCACAATATCTATTGTACCTTTCAGATTTTATTTACTCATTCAGTTTCTTACACTAGGGAGACAATATAATGTCTACACATGTGGATCTGATTTATTTCACTTACGAGTATAGTCTCTAGTTGCATCCATTTACCCATAAAAGCCTCGAGTTTATCTTTCTTTATAGCTGAGTAATACTCCATTGTATAAAAATACCACATCTTTTTATCCATTCCTCAGTTGATGGGCATTTGGGTTGTTTCCAAGATTTAACTATGACAAATTGCACTGCTATAAAATGGGTGCACATATATCGCTATGGTATGATGTTTTCTGTCCTTAGGAAAATACCGAGAAAGGGAATAGTTGGGTTGAATGGGACCTTCAGTCCTAGTTTTTTGAGGAATCTCCACACTGATTTCCACAGTGGTTGTACTAGTCTGGACTCCTGCCAACAGAGGAGAAGGGTTCCTTTTTCCCCACAGCCTCACCAGCATTTGTTATTGGTTGATTTCTTTATGATACTACTTACATAACTTACTATTATATTTTTCAGATATAATCAAGCCTTCAGGGAGCTCACTGTCTAAGGCATGAGGTAGACAAATATAAAATAACTGTAGGAAAAAATACTTCGAATGTTGCTTTGGATGACATTAAAATAGAGTGCTGAAAATATTTGGAAGAAAGAGATGATTTCTGACTGAAAAGGCAACATAGTCTGATAGTGAACAACACAGCAACAGATAAATTATTTGGATTAATGAAT